AACATCAAGAAGTCCTTCTCAAGGAAAGATATTTATTTAGAGTAACTATCGGGTGAAAGCTTTGTGCAGTGCCTTTCCTTTCTTTACACCCTTAGGTAGCCATGTGCATACACACCCACACACATACACTCAAACAAAATACTACTCGGTTTAGTATGAAAAGAAATAATCCACATTATTTTCATTCTTTTTATTTATTTATCCATGTGTATATTTTCATTTCGTCAGTATCTGTAGCCTATGGGCCTGACGTTGGCTGATATTGTCGCTATGTTAGCATGAATTAAGTGCCAAAGGAGATACAGGCCTGACGATGTCTGCCCAATGGCGTGGTAAAAGGAAAAGCTCAACCTGTTTTTCCAGGAACCATGCGAGAATGTCTCGTGGACTGCATGAACTCAAACGTCGTTGTAGCACCCAATCAGTGCAATGCAACCAACATCCGCATTCGTTGTGTCATGAACTCGCCCTAGGCACTTGCAGACAAAATGATAGTCACCACACAAAGAGATACAGGATTAACAGTCGATGTGTAGACAATTGGGAATTTTCAAAAAGGTATCCTTGAAGGCAGGAGGGCATGGTTTGTCGTCTTGTTGCAGCCGTCTGGCCAGCCTACTTTGACTACCAGATGTGTTGAATTTGACTTCGAAATCGCCGTCCTGGTTACTGGAGGTCAAACTCCGGTTGCCTACTATAGAATCTCTCATTTTGTGCGAAATTTCATGATGAAAAGATTCTGTAGGTCGATCTATTACCGGAAGACAACAGTTGATTCTCGTTTTTTTGCATCTGTTTGACTCCAACACGGCTTGCAGTTTGTCGTAGTACCTCTTTCGTTTCCAGCGGAAATGGGCTTCGTCTTCTTTCGAGAATCAGACGTTGTCATCTGGTGCAATTGGTCTACAGAATCTTTTCTTCATACATTTTCATAAGAAATGAAATTCCCCACAACATCGTTATCTCAAGAGATTCATCGAAACTCATCGTTGAATCACGGAGTCTAGACATCCAGTTTCGAGGCCCGAATTTGCGGTGTCGAGTTGTTTTCAATTAAGTCAAATTCATGCTGTCCTAACACGGTAAATAAACCTTGAGGAGAGACCAGCAAAAGAATGCGTTCTAAATTTAAGACAGGTGCCAAAGTTCAAGCGAATTCCGAGCGTATTAGGACCGATCGATTCCAGGCACGTACACGCCAGTGATGCACGAATGCCTAATCTGAGCCAGCCTCCCAGTCTCAAATGGCGTCTGGACGAGCTGGGAAAATCGATGTGATCTCTTACATTCGGACATGGGCATATTAATTCTATTTATTTTGCGGTAGTCTCGAGATGCAGGCTTTTTCTGTTAATCCACTTGTTGGCCACTTTCTGTCCACTTCCATTTCCACTGTAGGACGACTTCAAATGTCTTAGCAACCACTTCGGACAGGCGGTGTTTCCATGTTTTGCCAGCGATTCGGTGAAATTGCAGTCGACCTGCACCTCAGCCAGTCTCGCCTCAATTTCAGCCGAACTCTTGGCCCGACTGGATCTGCGAGTGGCCCAACTCAATCCGGAGTCCGGTTCGTTGAGTCTGGCATGTCCGGCCTCGAGTTCGCTGCGTCGTCGCCTCTCCTCGTGTCTCTCTCGCCTCACAGGAGCCCCGACGGGGAACAGCGCGACCCCGCCAACGGAACCCTGCGACGATCTCACGTCAGGACTGTACGACTCGGACCACCTTGAGGCTCATTTCTATCCAGGGCCTGGACGGAGAAAGCCGGCACCATTAGACGGCGAGGTAATTAGCAACTGATCGAATGAAGGTCCCATTCGACGAAATGCTCTTGATTATATAAGTGGGTTGACCTCGTTGTCGCAACTTGGTCTTGTTGTCAAGGCGACTTAGTAGAACTCACCTAGTCCGAAGTCGTCTGTCATAGTAGTTTTCATGATTCCTAGCATCAGACAGTGAACTGGGTACATTCTCAAACGTTTCGCCGGCATCATCAGTATGCGCTGCCGTTCTCCACACCAAGATACGAACTAGTTCTACTGAGTCGCCCTGACAACAAGACCAATTTGCGACAACGAAATCAACCTACTTCTATAAATCGAAAGAAGACTTCGAAAATACCAGAGACCACAACATATTGGTCTTCATATGCTCTTGATTATATATATATATTTTTTTAAAGTAAACTTTGAGTACACCTTGGATGGGAATAACTTTTAGGAAGCATGGCGATGTGAAGTGCAACGGGAGCTTGTGGCTTGCTCATATCATTGACCAGCTTATACGGGTTTTACATTATGCACCTAATTTGTATTTACTTCCTTGTAAGTAAACTTGCCATCTGTCCGGCAAATTAAAAGTAAATAATAATTGATATAGAACAGTGGTTTCCAAACTTTTCCAGGTCGCGGCGCCCTTTTTCAATTAACATTTGTCCATGGCGCCCTACCCTAAGTATGACTATTCGTAAGTAAGAGATAAAAATAAATAAAAGTCGTGCATCTTCTTATTTTCTTTATTAAAATTAAATTAATATTTAATAATTAATGTGATGGATGAGCCTGTAAATCACTACACATTTTCTCAAATCGTGAAATTAAACTGGACTCCGCCACCCTCATTTCCTTTCTACGTTAATTTTTGCTTTTTATCAAAGCGACCGCCGAAAACCCAGCTTCGCACAAACACGACGTCGAAAATGGAATTAGAATCCGCTTAGCCTTATCACTAAGAAGGGGATATTCATCTTTTATTAAAATCCAAAATTATGTCAATTCCATGCTGCCACATTTTGCTTTCAAACTGTTATCGCACGATAACTCGATAAGATTATCTTCTTCTGCAGAAGTAAATTCG